AAAGTTTTATTTAGTTTTGTTATACTTTGACACCTAACATGCTGGTGCATCGTACCAGCACATAATGCCAGAGTTGTTATGGAATTTTTAAATACAAACTTTGGCAATTATTTGATACATCATGTTCCATCATAGTATGTATGGTTATCACCATAGCAACATTAACTTTTAAATACAAACATTAGTTTTAGATAGAACAAAATGAATTGTTGTTAATTATTCAATAACTATAAGAAATATACCCCACAAACTATATATATTTGTTATCAGAAGAAAATAACAAATTATTTTAGGTCGTAGCCAACTATGGGTTTCATTTAAAAAAATAAAGTTACGTCTAAAATCTCGAAAATAAAAGATGGGAAAAAAATTCTACCTTCGCCACTGAATTCTTCGTAAAAAGTTGCCCATATAATGTCTTATTTATAATACTCCATCTTTGAAAATAAATGAGATATTCGCGAATGTCATTTTCGCAAAATTTTCAGTTTTTGCCGATAGGGCGAAAACAAAAGACGATAGCTGTTCGGAGTTTTCGGACAGCTATCGTCTTCGATTTTCTCGAAAAACAAGATCATGACATGTAAGCTACTTTTTTTCTATCTCTTTTAGTTTCGGAGATAGCCTATGCGGACATCGAAATTGGGACACCCTGTACACACAGCACACAAAAAATGTTATTGAACACCTAATTGGGAATATGATTTTTGAGGCAGACATGGGTAAATATGAGAGCAGTCATAGGCATTACGTGGCTTCCCCAATACAGTCTCCGCCAGCTCCATGGGAGTCTCCATATCAATATGATACAACTTCACTGCCGGCGCGGCCGCTTTCACAAGCTCCAACACTTATACAATATACAAGACAAAATTTCGCGCAAGACGTAGATCATAGCAGTAATAGTACTAACAGTTCTCTTAACTCGATTTTATAATGCTAAATTAAGTTGACATACATTTAAGATAACTGTTTACATAATAAATACAGAAATACCATTAATAAGCGTTTTTATATAACTTCACTTACCCGAATGCAATACTTCAAAGCCTTTATAATAACTTCACGCACTTCTGGAACTATTAAAGATATTGCTTGCTTAGAAACTTTAAAAAGATATGAAAGGCTGCTGTAGGAGTCTCCGGAAGAAAAATCAAAAATCGTAAGGTTATGGTTAATCTTTCAATTGCTGGAATAGCTTCACGATAATTAGTATTTTGGTTACATATTTCAGGTCCAATTTCATTCAACAGCCACTCAAAGTCTTCACTAGACATTTTGGTAAAGTTGTTGAATAAACCACTCTCTTTTTCGACTTGTAAGTCGGTGATCATTCTAGTTGCACTATAGAATTTTCTGACCTCCACTTTCGTTTTTTTTTTGATTTCTTCATTGAGTAATTAGAATATGGAACTGGCAATTATAAAACATCCTCTTCGACGTCCATTTTATGCACCATTTATGAAGAGAATCACAAATTATGGGATGGATTTTTACCCGATTTGGTCTTCGCAATCAATACCGCAAAACACGACACTACCGGATATTCCCCAGTATTTTTAAACTTTGGAAGAGAATTAGAAGTCCCGAAAGGTCTTTACCGGATAAATGAACCAGAGTCAAAGGAATTGGAAAATGAAGACATGAGACATGACCGAACTTTACATGCCTCAAAATTTCAGAAAATGAAGGACATTAGCGATTTTGTCCGAATGAGCATAGCCCGAGGGTTTAACGAACAAAGCCATTATTATAACCTCCGAAGACGAGACTGGCGACCGAAATTAAAAGAACTAGTAATGAAGAGAGCACATCATCTCTCGTCCCAACAGAAACGTTTTGCGGCGAAACTAGCTCCGAAATACTCCGGTCCTTATGTGGTGTCTCGCATCCTATCACCCGTTGTATATGAAGTCCAAAATGTCTGTGGAAACCGATCCTACCGAGTCCATGTCAAAGATCTAAAACCGAATATTTACCGTACTCTAGATGCCGAAAAGGGTACAACGACCGAAAGGCGAGCCGCAATTTGCAACGGATCCGACCATCGACCGGGCGAGGCAGAGGAGTTGGGAAACTCAGAGGGAAGAGAGGGCCAAGGAGATCGCCAAAGAGCTCCAGGGAAGAATCGAGGCCAAGAGGAGGAAGAGGGTGATAATGCCGTGTCAGATATTACTCTCACGGTTGAATTTGAACGGCACAGAGCCATTTGAACCTTCCCCGTCAACTTCTGTCACCGATTTAAATACCCTGAACACTCCCTCCTCTGACGATAACCCGATCAAACAAAACACCGAACCGAAAGAGATCGGGGTCTCTTTGACTGATGCGGATTTGGCGGAGGCGATCCTTAGCGGCGAACCACTGACTTCCGCCTATACCAACGCACTAAAAAGGTTCAGACTGGAGGGGAAGACAGGAAGAATTCGGCAGCTTCTAACAGCCCGGGATGGCCGAACCGTCAGAGCCACCGTTCCCCGTTAATTACCGTAATATAATCCGTTGTGTTGTGCTGTTATCCGCCACCAGTCTTCCCTATAAAATAATTTGCCTTGAAATTACAAGTAATAACTGTTCTCTTCTACAGAACATGTATTGCAGCTCCTGCAAGGTATGGAGTGATAACTTTTCTCTTCTACAGAACATGTATTGCAGCTCCTGCAAGGTATAGAGTAATAACTTTTCTCTTCTACAGAACATGTATTGCAGCTCCTGCAAGGTATGGAGGATACCGACAAGAAAGACTGAAATATTTTTTTTTGGTACATAGTCGTCCATGATTTTTATTTTCTTTTAATTTTTCTTTGGGTTTAGATAACCGCATTCATTTTTTTTCTCTCCGTTTATTTTTAGGTCTTATTCCCCGAATTTTGTTTCATTTATTTTAATAACCGAATGATTCATTATTTTATCTTTTTCATTTCCGAGAATTTATCATCTTCTTTTGAATTCTGACCGTACCGCCAAACAGTTAGGTTCACTAACTAAGTTCCAGCGTTAAAGAAGAAAAAAAAACGCTTACATTTTTTTTTATCCGAACAAAAGGGGATGTGTAACGAAGTTACATTATTTTTATAATTCAAAAACCGAAAATCCCGAAATATTACCGAAAATTAAACATATCCGAGTATACTTCCCACACTACTTCGATACGTTACAGTTTCCACCCGATTTGTAGAAATTCCGAAAAAGATATCTTATCACCTTATCATCTCCCGTTTATGCAACCCAATTCACATTTTATTAATTTCGATAATATTCTTAATTAAACCTTGATTTTCTCCGTTTTCCATTTCAAAACCGTTATCTTAAATTCCAACAACGTTCCCTGACCGAATCATCAATAAATGAAAGTAATTAATAAAATTGCTGAATCACGAAAACATGTGCTCTCCGAAAAATTATTATCAAATAATTAAATAATTCCGAAATTAACAAATTTTCAAACAAGATACGACAAGCCACATGTTCCTATCAGTCAAGCCGACCGTCCCGAGGAAGTTTCAGCAGCAAGCGAGCTACCGTCGAGCTACCGTATAGCGACTATTTTTTATGTTGCGGAATTAGAAAACGATCAAACCGATTTCAAACATTTACAAATATCATGAAATAACCGTTAAACGATTTTAAAGATGATCCGCTGTTCAGAACGCGCCAGCACGCGCGGACAATTCAAATTTTGAGCAACGCGCTCACACGCGCGAAGGGAGAGTAATTAAAACTCATAGTCTCTAGTACATTTTAAATTTATTTGGTCACACTCCGCTATTTTTTTTCTCTTTTATTGTATATATTATAAATAATTATTGTTAACATGTAAGTATGTATCGCGTCTTTAATTCCTTGTATATATTTCTGTAAACCTGTTTTGTCCAAAATCTGTATAAAAGTATGCCCGTCCGAAAATAAACCCTCTTTGTTGTCCAGTTTTCACAGTGTTTTATTCTACCACCAAAATCGAGAGACTTGGAGAAAGTGGTTAAGTAAGACTATTTAATTCAATTTCTTTAAGTAGAAGAATTGCGCGCTAAGTTAGAAACATTATTTTTTGGTCCTTCGAGCCGGATTCTCGCGATATATTTTTGATTTTGTGAACTTTACGTGAAATTCGATCGGTTTTGCGCGACGGCCATTACCGTCGTCGTGTGCTCGATTTAGGTTTAAATTTATTTCTTCATTCTTATAAACATCAATAAAATTTTACTACATTTTCCGACCCTGTCTTCCGTGCGGTGATTCTTAAAAAAAAAACTAAACTACAACAAAACTACTGCTAAACTACAACTAAACTACTACTACAAACATAAAATAAACTATATACCTCTAATTAATCTACATAAATTCGTCTTGCAACTTCATCATGCCGAAATCCATTCCCGAAAAAGATCTCGAACCGGTTTTCGAACGGCAGAACGAGCTACTGAATTCAATATCGCGTGCTTCGGACAATGCTAAAAAATTAGCGATTCCTAAACGCACCATGGGTGCCCTAAACGCTCGGCTAGAACGCGTAAATGAGTGCTGGATCGAATTTAAAGAAAACCATTTACAATTGAGTCAATACCGCGCTAATTACTCAGACACGGTGTATTTCACAGACGAATTGTATGTTGTATGCGAAGAGAACTACATCGATTCAAAGGGTGTCCTTGTTTAATCTTAATTAAACAAAAAAGATTTTTTTTAATATTAGAAACAAATTAGGAAATAAATTAAAATAGTGATAACGCAAGGTTCGAACCGACCCAGTTAGCGGTCGCAACAACACCTGACGAAGCGCTGCAGCTCAGCAGGTTCATCGATCAATTGCCGATTAAGGATCGATATCGGCAGTGCTCAAACAATAATCGAGGACGTAAAATAATTGTTAAATTTAATTTTTGTAAATAAGACACGATTGTTTTGGAATCAATCGCACATTGTAGTTTTAAGGTTTTGTATATAAACTGAAAATTTTTATAATAAAACTCAGTATGAATTAATTATCTACTCGATTTACTTCACCACCTCCCTACAACAGATAACCAGGCATAGTCCGGATCTGTTCATAGATATGATACGCGAGATCGAAACACCCGCTAGTGTCACGTCGAACGCTACCGCGACCACAGAAGCTGTACCGTCGCGCGCGCGACAGGTTCCGCGAATAAATCTTCCGACATTTGGCGGTTCCTATTCTGAGTGGACTCAATTTCGTGACCTCTTCGTCACACTATGGTCAGTGACAATACCGATCTAACCGGAGTGGAGAAATTTCAATATCTGAAAATGAGCCTCACTAAAGAACCTGGTCAATTAGTTAAGAACTTGTCAGTTACTCACGACAATTTTAACCGGGCGTAGAATCTTCTTGTTGATAGATATGAAAATCTACGGGTACTGATTGACAATCAAATCTCCGCGTTATTTTCGGCAAAACCTCTAAGAACTGAGTCTTCTGTAGAGTTGAATTGATTGATTGGGGAAGTTAAAGAAGCTCTCGGAGCTCTGGAGTCCTTGGGTTGTCCTGTCGATAAATAGGATTACCTCTTGGTATACTTAATCGTCAGAAAATTAGATACCGATTCTATAAAAGAATGGGAAAAATCGGTCAGCGATCATCGTACCCCTTCAAAATTCGACGATTTCATGGACTTTCTGTCGGTGCGTGTTTTGACCCTAGAAGCAATCGAAAATCTTTCTGAAAAAAGTAAAAATTCGTATTTTTGTACAAGCTCTAGACAAAAAACTGTTAATTTTAAATCACATAATACCTCACCGGGAACAATCAGATGTGCATTGTGTGAACAATGCAAATGAACATCGTCTATATCGTTGCTCTCAGTTTATTACAAAGACACCTCGTCAACGATGTGAATATGTGATGACCAATAAACTTTGTTTCAATTGCCTGAGTCATCATTCCGTATCCGCGTGTCGCGTCTTCGCTAGGTGCCTGAACTGCAGACAACCTCATCACACAATATTACACGATTTTCCACCTGAAAAGCTTTTACAAATTAATTCTAACCTTACAAAAAAATCGGCAATCGTAAATTCACCTCAGCCATCGACCAGTCATTCGGTTCATGCATGTCACATCAGTGCTCCAGTTCTTTTGGCTACGGCGTTGATCCAAATCAGTTCAATTCGCATTAATAGACCAGGGCTCAGAAGTGTTCTTTGTTAGTGAATCGTTGGTGCAACGATTGCATCTTCCGCGTCGCGCTGCTAACATTCCCATCACCGGTGTTGGTTCCGGGAAAACATGTACTACCAATGGAATGGTATCGGTTCGGTTGACGTCGCGATGTGATCCATCTATCTCCTTGAAGGAAAAAACCTTGATTCTACCTCGGCTCACTACTTACGTCCCAAAACGGCATTCTAAATCCATTCCTGCTGATGTTGTTGATCTTCCGTTGGCTGATCCCGAATTCAATTCGAACCGCAAAATCGATTTAATTTTGGGAGTGCAATTTTACACAAAAATTCTATAAAAGCAACATTCGCAAATTTAACAACGGGTCCATGGTTGCTCAGCAGACCTTATTCGGATGGATTCTTTTCGGTTCCATGGGAGAAACTTCTCCAGCGGCAGATTCGAGTTCGTACGGTTTTCAATGCTCTGTAGATCGGGAGTTGCTAGAGGCGGTACAGCGTTTCTGGAAACAAGAAGAAGATTCGTGCTCAACACCTCATTTATCTTCTGATGAACGCGCGTGCGAGGAACATTTTTCACGGTCGTATTCTCGCGATGAAAACGGTCGATTCATAGTGCGTTTGCCTTTTAAAAAATCCCCTAGTTGTCTCGGAACGTCGTACGACACCGCCGTAAATTCCTTTCGTAGGATGGAACAAAGATTCGCAAAAAACGAGCAACTTTCTATCGCCTATCATGAATTTATGCAAGATTACGAGTCTCTCGGACATATGTGCATTGCTTCAAAGACTTTAAGTACTTTAAATTACTATTTACCACATCACGGAGTTATTCGCGATTCTAGTTCCACCACTAAACTCCGGGTTGTCTTCAATGGTTCATCCTCATCATCTTCGGGAGTTTCGTTGAACGATTGTTTACATATTGGCCCAAAACTTCAATCGGAACTCATTGACGTTCTTCTTCGGTGGCGACGACACAAACTCGTTTTTCTCTGCGACCTAGAAAAAATGTATCGACAAATTAAAATACATAAAGACGATCAACGGTTTCAACGAGTCGTTTGGCGAGAAAATCCGTCAGAAAATATCAAAAGTTACGAGTTACTTACAGTTACTTACGGTTTATCGTGTGCGCCTTTTCTGGCAATTCGTTGCCTACGGCAGCTCGCTGACGAACATTTATCCATCCATCCACGCGGTGCAGAGATACTACTAAATGACACCTACGTCGATGACATTCTTTCGGGTGCGGAAAGTGCGAACGAAGCAACCAACGTAATCGCGCAACTAAATCATATTCTTACGGCCGGCGGTTTTCATGCACGTAAATGGATGTCTAATAATCCAGAAATACTTCAACAATTACCGCCGAGTGACGTTTCTTTAACCAAAACCGTGTCCATCAACGACCATGATTCTCCTAAGGCTTTAGGACTGACCTGGAATAATGATACTGATCAATTCTTGTTCGTGATCAGTAGCCCTGACGAAGTTAAGATCAAAATTACAAAAAGAACGGAATTTTATCATTTGTTGCACGACTTTACGATCCCCTCGGGTTTCTTTCGCCATTTATTATCGTCGCAAAAATTTTCATGCAGGAGCTCTGGGTTCGCGGTCTCGACTGGGATGAACATCTTCCCACCGATTTGCGTGAAAAATGGATTTCATTTTTACAAAACCTTCACCACGTACCCACAATTCGCGTCCCGCGTTGGCTTGGTACCGATCGTGCTTTCGCGAGCGTTGAATTTCACGGATTTTCTGATGCTTCGAGCAACGCGTACGGCGCCGTTGTCTATCTACGAGTCGAAAAATTGGCGGAGGTGCGGGTAATAATTCTAAGCTCTAAAACCAAAGTGTCCCCTCTAAAGGTTGTGTCAATTCCGCGACTCGGTGGTTTTAGTGCGGTTGGTTAAACGCGTCGCGAGTGCTCTGGAGCTCGGTAACCATCCAATACATCTGTGGACGGACTCTATGGTCGCGCTTTCTTGGATTCGTAGTCACCCTAGTAGATGGAACGACTTCGTTAGAAATCGAGTCATCGAAATACAAGATCTACCTGAAGCACGTTGGTCTTACGTTCCTAGTGAAGACAATCCTGCGGACCTTGCTTCACGTGGCGTTCCGATTCGTCGCTTGCAGGATGAATCGCTCTGGTGGTCTGGTCCTCATTGGGTCAACAAGTCATCAGATTGCTGGCCATCTCATCCTCTTCCGATGCCATCTGATGTCGATCAAGAAAAGCGCGACACCGTTTCCATTCATCTTACCACTACCACCAGCTGGGATCTGAAATCAAAATATTCCTCACTACACAAACTTTTACGAATTACCTCATGGTGTTTTCGTGCAGTCACAAAAACTAAAACCGAATTTGTTTCAGATATTCTTACCTCAGCTGAAATAAAACGTTCCCTTCTGTTTTGGGTTAAAGATACACAGCAGGAACATTTCCATACAGAAATTTGCACCCTCCAAGAAGGAAGAACAGTGAACAAAACAAGGTGCTTATACAGACTCACCCCTTTTCTTGACAGTGAAGGAATTCTAAGAATAACTGGGCGTCTCCGGTTCGCATTGTTGGATTGGGATGAGAAACATCCAATGATTCTTCCAAAGGAATCACATTTGACCGGTCTCATCATCGATGCTCATCACCGAAGGACGGAGGAACGCAGCTCACTCTCTCATCCATTCGGAGACAATTTTGGGTTGTTGGAGGTCGTGTACCGATTCGCTCATTCATACAGCGATGCGTAACATGTGCCAAACAACGCATAGAGGCTAGCCAACAACTGATGGGTCAGCTTCCCCCATCTCGGGTCATTCCATCAAGGCCATTTCTTCACAGAGGAGTCGATTATGCTGGACCATTTCAATTAAAAACATTGCGAGGACGAGGTGGTAAAATCTACAAAAGTTACCTAATATTGTTTGTTTGTTTAGCTACTTCTGCCATCCATCTGGAAGTAGCTACCGATTATACAGCCAATGGATTTATATCGGCTTACAAACGATTCACAGGGCGCCATGGTCTGTGTCAGTGCCTTTACAGTAACTGCGAAACCAACCTCGTCGGTGCTGATAGGGAGCTCAGATCCCGTTTAATGCTGCTTCTAGGGAGTGGAAGCGGGTGGTCAATCTCTTGTGTGAGGATGGAACGAGATGGAAGTTTAATCCACCAGCAGCACCTCATTTTGGAGGGAAGTGGGAAGCTGGAGTCCGATCCATAAAAACTCACCTTAGAAAAGTCGTTGGTTCTAGTCTTCTCGCCTATGAAGAGTTTACCACAGTCATTATACAGATCGAGGCTGTTTTAAACTCACGACCATTGTGTACCGTTACTGATGATCCTACCAACTACGATGTCTTAACACCAGGACACTTTCTGGGCGTCAGGGAACGCCCAGACTTCATACCTATATCATCGGAAGTCAACATCGAAGTGGCTGTCGCTGAAATAGTGGAAAACAAAACACTACTAATAGCTATATACCGTTCTCCACTGGGAGACCTAAACATTTTTACTGAAAAATTACAGGATCTAATGGAAAATTTGCAGCATGAACAGAACAAAACCATATTTATAATGGGGTATTTTAATCTAGATTTTTCACGTAATGGAACAGATAAAAATGCAGAAATCACTCGGGATATATTAGCTTCTTTTAACTTTCATCCACTTTTTAACGAACCATCCAGGCTCAACAGTGTCAGGTGCTTCGATAATCTATTCATAAATACGTAACTATCTCAGTACGTTGCAAATACTATCAATCTCCATATGTCGGACCATCTTGCGCAAATGCTCGAGTTCACCATAACAGAGCTAAAACACCCTGGAAAAAACAAAACAAAACAAAGATCCTTTGCTCCTTCAAATATTTATCGTTTCAGAGAAAAATTAAGAGAAATGAGTATACTTGTTGACAATCGCATAACAGAGACCGCGCAAAGTCTCTTTTCCATATTTTATACTTTACTCATGGCGAAATTTGACGAGTGTTTCCCTGAAAAATACATATTACAACGCAAAGATAAAAAATATACAATAAACACACCTGAGTTAAACGCATTGAAAAATACTCTTGATTCCATGTATATCGTAGCAAAGGCAGGAGGTAGTCCAGAAGCATACAATATCTATAGGAAATTAAAATATACTTACATAAAAACTGTGACAACAGAAAAACAAAAAGAAAACTTTATATCAAATTCATCAAATAAATCGAAAGCAATCTGGAATGTCATCAATAGTGAACGCGTTGGTAAGAAATTGGCAGGCGGAGAGGAATCAACACTATCGGCAGAGGAGATGAACACTTTTTTTATAAATTTGAGGAACAAAGCAAAAAATGATCACCTTTACTTCAAAACCATAAAATAGATAATAAAAGATCATTCTACTTTAAAGAAATAACGCCAATTGAAATCATAGATATTGTGCAATCCCTAAAAAACAAAAACACTAAAGACACCTACCACTTTAGTACCAACCTCCTAAAACAAGTTGTCGATGTGATAGCGTCACCTCTATCCAAGGTTTTAAACAAATGCGTGAATGAAGGATGTTTTCCAAATGAACTAAAAATTGCAAAAATTCTACCAGTACACAAAAAAGGTGATAGCAATCAATGTGACAATTTCAGACCGATATCTATATTACCAGCTTTCTCAAAAATATTTGAGCAAATTATAGCAAATCGTTTGATTGACTACCTAGAAAAATTTAACCTATTGACAACTTGCCAACATGGATACAGACGGAAAAAATCGGTAACAACAGCGATGATGAATGTCATAAATTTTATTACAGAAGCACTTGATAACAAAGAACTAGTGGAAATCAACTTATTAGATCTTACCAAGGCGTTTGATACTGTAAGCCACAACATACTTTTAGACAAGCTGGAATATTATGGCATAAGAGGAGTACAACTAGAACTCCTAAACTCATACCTCTCCGAACGCCAACAATACGTTCAATGGAAAGATAAAAATTCCAAGTTATTAAACATAAAACAAGGTGTGCCCCAAGGATCAATTTTAGGGCCCTTACTATTCATTATATATGTTAATGATTTGCCTGCCACGGTCAATGAAGAAATTGGCTTATATGCGGACGATACATCAATCATCGTAAAAAGTAAAGACAAGCGTGAACTAAAACAGAAGTCTATCAATGCAATGTACGAAGCGCAGTTATGGTTTGAAAGTAATAATCTGCAACTAAATCACAATAAAACAGAAAGCATAATATTCAGCACAAAAGCAGAAAATCGTGTCGGTAAGGCGAGGTTCCTCGGGTTACATCTCGATGGACGGCTGGATTGGCACCATCATATTGAGGCCCTATCAAAGAAGTTATCAACAGCGGTTTTCACCATAAGACGTTTGAAAAGCATAGCTACACACCAAGCCGCCAAAATGTCGTATTTCAACCTCTTCCAGTCCGTGGCATCATACGGAATTCTATTCTGGGGACAGTCAACTGAGTTCCATAGAATATTTAAAATACAAAAGTCAGCAATTAGGGCTCTCTGTAATCTGCGACGGCGTGATAGCTGTAAGGAGTATTTCATTAGAGAAGAAGTACTTACCCTACCAAGTATATACATACATACGGTGTTAATGTACGTGTACGATAATAGGAATACTTTCCAAACACTCGGCGAATCACATAGTTATGCAACTAGATCTTGCTATCAACTTGCTACACCATATCACCGACTCTCAAGAACACAACAATCGATGGACTATTGGGGTCCAAAATTTTTCAACATAGTTCCACCCTCCATTGCGGCAATGTCAAGAAGTAAATTCAATATAATTATAAAAAAACACCTAATTGAAAGTGCATATTACACTTTTGAGGAAGTTATTAGGGAGGCAGTGAATGAAATTGATAAGAATTAACATTGATAATACATTTTTTTGTTTTCTTGTTTGTGGACTTTTTATTGTAAATTTGTTGTTACAGTAAATAAAGATATTTGTATTTGTATTTGATGTAACAAACCGCCCTGTATATTAAATTGAAGGAATGTTTGTGGGTATGCACATTGAGGGTGTATCGTTCCGTGAAATTGCGCGTCGTCTCGAGCGGTCGTTATCGGCAGTGCAACGGGCATGGCGAGAATGGTCTGAGGCAGGACATAGGTACCTTCAGCCGCGACCGGGACGGTCCTGCGAGTTATAGGTGCCCTCCAAGAGTAAATGCTGTATAAGCATTTCCAAAAAGTATATAATCCCGAGCGTAATTACGAAAGAGAGACTAAGCTATCATCGCGACGTCGCCGCACTTCGTAAAATTCGAAACTTTGATTTAAGATAAACAAGTTAATTTACAATTATAAAAATAAATAGCAAACTTAAACTTTTGTAGTAAGTAAACTTAGTTTTTAATAAAATAATCTTTTAAAAAAAAAACAAAATTCTGATCTTAGAATTTTAACTGGCGCAGTCAGTAGGATAACTACAACGTGTTCGCGAGTAAAAATCTTCGTGAGTTCGCGGTCCGTTTCTACGGTTTGTGTAGTGTTCGAAACATATTGTGAACAATCGTACAACCCTTATTGGATTACAACAAATAGGTACAGCAGGACATCGGTTATGATTTCTCTACAGCATATAATCTGCATGTGAGTAAATCTTATTGATTGTTTCCCTTGCCCCTTGTTCTTTTGTTCCTTGTATGAGTGACCTCAGTGAACTCATAAACGCAATAAGTGATATATCATTGGCTGACAAAATGCCTTATACACCAAAAGATATCACCAACGTTTATCAAGACACCATACCAGTATACGATGGAGACGTAACCACTCTCAACGCCTTCATATCAGCTTGCGAATTTCTGGTAGACACTTTTTATAATCCTATCTTAGAAAGAAGCCCGCAAATTATCGACGAACCAATCGATAAACAAAAGGTGCAGTTCCACAATAATGTAGGAAGAGGAGAAGAAATAACAACTTCAATGGAACTATTAGGAAGTAAAGTAAATAAAGACAACAGAAAAATAATAACTGCTCGAATTCCAAAAGACAACAACGAAAAATTGATATTGGATTTTATGAAAGAATACATGGCGTCAAATGAAAAGTATTATTTGTACTTTAGTAGCGAATCACTTTACAGAGATTTCTGCAGTGCTTACGCGAAATACTTTAATGACAACGGTCAAACACTAATCAGATGTATGAAGCGTGTAACTGTTGTAAGCGATAAAGGCGAACAAATAGAACACGTAGAAAATCACCACGTCGGAAAATCAAATCATAGAGGTATAGAAGAAACATTGGCATATTTAAAAAGAAGATATTGGTGGAACAACATGAGAGAAACAGTCACGAATTACATTAAGCAATGTGAAATTTGTAATCGTGCTAAATATGACAGACACCCTTCGCAACCACCCCTACAAATTACACAAACTCCAGACAGACCATTTAAAAAATTATTCATGGACACATTTTCAATTAGTAACAGAAAATATTTAACGATCATTGATGTATTTTCAAGAATGGCACAAGCTATTCCTTTGAAGAGCGCTAATGCCACCGATGTAGCCGACGCCTTAACCACGTATTTTCAATTTTATGGAACACCAGAAGAGATCAGTTGTGACAAAGGTACCGAATTCAACAACTCCACTATTAAACAACTATTAGAAGCACACAAAATATTAATTCATTTCGGAACCCCATTAAATCCAAATTCCCAAGGAAACATTGAACGATTTCATTCTACGTTGATTGAACACGTGCGATGTCTTCGTGAAACCAACAAAGATCAACCAACACACGATCTTATAAAGCTAGCAGTTATTGCATATAACAACAGCATCTCAAAACCTATCGGAGCCACTCCACTAGAAGTTGTTTTTGGTCACACATCGCTAAGAGATCCCATGGATTTACTGCATTCAAAAGATTACTTTGCGGATTACATTCAAAATCACAAAGAACGACTTAAACATCTATATAAAACCATAGAAGAAAAAATAAAGCATACAAAGAAAAATACGTGAATAAACGAAAAGAAAAGATCAAAGGAAAACCATTCAAAGTAAATGAATTAGTGTACATAAGAAACATAGGAAGAAATAAACTTCAAAACCCCTATTTAGGTCCTTATAGAATTACGAAAGTAAATGACGACGAGACTGTCATAGTAAAAACTAAATCAGGAGAAAAACGATGTCATACAAGAACTCTAAAACATTCCATTATTACAGATACCTCGGATTCATGTTCCGTGGCCACTGGTGCGACGTTACAATAACTAACATAGAAGATAACACAGGACTCCTACCAGTATTACTGGGCAGAGCTCAAAACGCTCATAGTTATTGGAGCCTAACAACCGTCTACGATCTAGCGCAATTATTGCACGAAGTAGAGACAACCAAACGACATTATCGAGATTGTTTAAAAATGATCAACCCAACGGAATCATCCTATGAAAGAGAAATGTACAATTTTATATCCATAATGAAAACAGGAATGGAACAAATGACAAGACAAGTCGAGGATATATCCCCGAAGAATCATTTAAAATCAAAAAGAGGAGCAATTAATATTGCGGGAAGTATAATAAAGGCCATTACAGGAAACCTAGACGAAGAAGATGCCCTTCGTTACGATCAAGCGATAGAGGAACTCCAATCGTCTCAGAAGAAAATTAAAACCATCGTCGATAAACAAATTACTTTATCGACCAAAGCCTTGACAAAATTTGACAACTCGATAAAGATTCTTAAATCGAATCAAGTGGTCCTTACATCTAGAATACTACAAATGGGAGCCGCAATGAAAAACGCATTTTATTTCGCTTTGGAATCTCGAAAATTTATGTCAATGTATGCTATCATTAATCAATTAATATTCATGATCGACAGACTTAATAGCATCTTATCTACCGTAACAAATTCCATAGTATTCGCAAAAGCAGGAATATTTCATCCATCTATTCTCGACAAAAATACATTACATCATGAACTGGTACATATTGAAGAACAACTTACAGATGACAAATTACCAATAAATCCCGACGAAGAAGGCATGTACTACATAGAACAAATAATTACACTTAAAGCATTTATGAAAGATTCTAAAATATTTTATGTTCTTATGATTCCTATTGTTGAAAAGTTATCCTATTCCCTATATGAACTATTTCCACTTCCAAAAAGATACAATTTGTCTACCTTCGCCTCGATAACTCCCAAAACTCCTTATTTAGCAATCAATAATGAAAAGTTTATAGCTACTCACACTGCATGCAGAGAAGTTTTACCGTCAGAATTTATATGTCACGAAACCAGTCATCAAATTAGTCTTGAAGAAACTCCATGCGAAGTACGATTAATTCTGATTATGGGACAATATGAAAATTGTGAAACAAAAATGGACGAAGTATTAACCCCGAGAATTACAAGAATAAGATGAGGTGTTACGGTCCGTTGTACTTCGCTACGCTCGGCAGCGCCCAGGTCTGCTATACATGCACAACAACGTCCGACCGCACATCGGGCGTGTTGTACAGACCTTTGTGGAAGAGCACCGTATACGAATGCTTCTATGGCCAGCTCGGTTTCCGGATCTGAATCCAATCGAACATGTGTGGGACATGACTGGTCGGAGACTTCAACGTTATCCGGCTTCCCCGGCTAACGTTGAGGAGCTATGGAAGCGAGTTGAGGTGGCATGATTGGCCACCCCTCTCGCTACAATACAGCGACCTATAGACTCCATGCCACATCGTGTAGCAATGGTACGCGAAGCTTACTCTCGATATTGATACTCTCGCTATTGATGTTTCTCCTCCCAGCAGAGTTGTGCCGCTCTCCATGTGAGAGTAAGTTACACTACTTTAGTACTACTTCCATACCAAATTTTATTGCGCTAGACACACGCGTTCAGATTATAGAGGGTGTGCTCGTGAATTATTTCCAACAGTGTATATTGGTGGTTATAGACTGTTTCTCCAAGTTTCTCTGGACGCATCCGTTAAAAAGTAAAAATTCTACGGACGTCACCACCGCGCTACGCTCAATTCTCACAGACGGTCACGTGTCTCGAAATCTTCAAACCGACCAGGGCAAAGAGTTCTACAACAGTCACTTTAAACGGTTGACGTCGGATTTTAAAATTAATCATTTTTCAACGTATAGCGTTATGAAAACGTCGATGGCTGAACGTGTAATTCGAACCGTTAAACAGAGGATCTACAAGTTCTTCAGTCTATATGGAAATCATAAATGGGCGCACCTATTAAAGGACATAACATCTCGATATAACAGTACAAAACATACAACTACGAAAATGAAACCATCTGAAATAAATTCGAAATCCGTAGAGAATAAACTTGTCAATACAGTGTACAATTATATTAAAATTGCCGGCAGAGGAAAGTTTAGAGTTGGAGATACCGTTCGTATCAGTAAATATGAACATGTGTTTGATAAAGGATATCTGCCCAACTGGACCGCCGAATTGTTTAAAATCGTTAAAGTGAAAATCATAGATCCAATTTCATATTTATTGGAGGACATTCGCGGCCAGCCGATTAAAGATGCTTTTTGCGAATTCGAACTTCAAAGGACCGCTCAACCCAACGTTTACCTCGTTGAAAAGGTGTTGAAAAGGAAGAAGGATATGTTGTACGTAAAATGGTTGGGGTTCGATTCATCGCATAATTCTTGGATATCAAATAAAGATATATCATAAAATTTCTTTATATCGTTGTGAATTATTTTTTTAAATAAAATTTAATTTTCAAACGTTTGTGTTGTCGAATTTCACTCAAGTTTTTTTCCTTAAGAAACCACATTTGTTGAGGGTTTGCTGTTGCATAAAACCTTATGCTATATCGTTTTAATAAAATCGAACATAATAATTCAAAAAATTTATAAAACTGGAAAACCAAGTTTTTTTCTTTAAGAAACCACATTTGATAAGGGTTTACTGCATAAACCGTTATACATTATCGTTTTACCGCATTTCCAATTTAACTATGTACAACCAAAGAGGTGAGCTCTAAATTGTTAAAGTTTAGCTTAAGTTTTGAGTTTAAAATTCATATTTTTTCAGTTAAAATAATGGTGTAGGAGTAAGTCTCACTACAGAGGTTTAATTTCATTGTTCTAATTGATTTCTGTCTTTAATATTAGAGATTACAAAACAGCATATTCATGTCGAGGCTGTTGCCTCGATACCAGGCGTCTTTTATCAAGACAACGGGAATTACTTATGTATTTTATATAAATTGAAATGTGTGTTTATTCATTTTAAATTATTATATTTATATTAATTTTCATTTTTAATTTATTTAGATTAAATTGATGGCCTGATTTTAATTTGTTGTATTTGTCAAATTTCTATACCCTACATATAACTTTAAAGTTCATATTTAATTAGCTGTTTACAAATAAGCATTAAGTTATTGTGAAATTTATTCGAGTCGACGGAAAAATGGGTGACAAGACACGTTCTGCAATTGAAAAAAAGATGCGACATATTTACGTATCTTAAGTGAAAGTATCGCTAAAGAGGTGGAGCGAGTTTTAGACCAAAAAATCTCAAAACTTGAAGAGAAGGTGGCCCAGTTGGAGAAAGACAACAGTCGGTTCCAGCAGAAGGCAGCGGAGAGGTGGAGCTGCGAAATGAGGAGTTAGTTGAACGATGTGACTCGCTCTAGCAGTATTCTCGTCGCACGAGTATACGTATAATGGGTATGGAGCGCTGTCCAGATGTTTGCGTAGAAAAGAATGTAATGCAAATTATTAATGAAAATTTAAAACTTAATTTTAAACCGGAATTGATTGACCGATGTCACCATGTCGGCAAACCTAGAAATGATCGTCACAACGTTATCGTTCGTTTTGTTTCATATAGAGAGCGGCGTTTAGTTCTACAAAATCGTAGATTTTTAAAGGGTTTTTACGGCCACTCGATTTAAGTTGTATCAACAAACTGTGGCGAAGTTTGGTATGAAATCTGTTTGAACGTTAGATAGTAAGGTTTACGCTCGTGTTAATGATAAAAAGATTAAAGTTTTAAATCATAAGATATTGGAAGAACTTTGAGCGAGCGATTTTTTGCGATTTATGATGACTTAACTTATGTAGATGAATATTTGAATTTACGTTTATTAATGCAATGTTTGCTTTTTTTTTTCTTTTTCTATTTTTGCTGCGGAGCGATTGTATGCTACTCTTTATTTAACGTATTGTTAACTCATATTAGATCTCAAACATAGCGTTTTTGTTTTTTTTTTGTTCTTGCTTGGTAGTTACACAATTGAATAGTTTAATTAGTGCATTTAGTTTGCTGTTTACTCTTTGTTATTGCCGCGAACGGCCATGATTTAAGGCAATGCCCCGAACATCGGTCGTATGAAAAATGCTAACTATGGGTTTAACGCTACTGCGACCGATGATCGGCGGACATTGAGGGACAATGGAAAAATCGCGAACCGGCCACCGTAGAGTTAAGAGTCATGTTTGTAGAAAGTAGTATTCGATTAAACATAATTTTGGGAAATAAGTGAAGTTTAATTGTTCAACCCCGCAACAATCCATCCTAACTCATAGCCTTGACGGAGGGTGACGACGATAAATAAAAGGGTAAGTAAGATTTTAATTATTTAATATCTACCCGATACCTCTCACAAAGAACAAAAGATCAAGCGAGTAACCCCTACTGCATAAGAAACAACCCCCGAACGTAACATTTGGTGGAGGCGCTTAGTGATCCAAATTTAAATTAATTTTTTTTTAAATTCAACTGTTATAATTTTTTTATACAGTGCTAGCGTAAAGTAACCCCCCCCCCCCTTTTAACTTCTCAACGGATTGAGATATCAATATGAACAAAAACACGTCAATTTCTATACTTTATCAGCACAAATATTTTCTTATAGAAAATTTTGCTGTCACTTTTAGTTTTTCCGGAAAGTGGATCAACTTTGTTTTTTTAAATGGAACACCCATTATATTATGATACCTTCCGAAAGAATAAAACAATACGAATCCAACGATACCCCACAATCAAATATCGGTTTATTAGTTTTTTGCATAAANATATGGACCATTATACTATATTGCCTAATCATACTTCTAATTGCAGGGTTGATAAGTAAGAAAATGTACAGAAAAAAGAAAATTAATCCACCGAAAGAAGAAAGACCCAAACAGAATCTAGGGAAACAAACATGGTCATTTTGAGAAAATTCCAGGTTATGTTTCCCTCTTTGGCGGGAGGAGTTATAGGTGCCCTCCAAGAGTAAATGCTAAATAAGCATTTCCAAAAAGTATATAATCCCGAGCGTAATTACGAAACAGAGACTAAGCTATCATCGCGACGTCGCCGCACTTCGTAAAATTCGAAACTCAGATTTAATATAAACAAGTTAATTTACAATTATAAAATAAATAGCAAACTTAAACTTTTGTAACTTAGTTTTTAATAAAATAAACTTAAAAAAAAAAACAAAATTCTGATCTTAGAATTTTAACTCGCGCCACATGTTGCATGTTGCATGTTGTTTTCTTACCGAACGCCATTACGTTTAGGTGTTGATTTTACTCATTTAAGGCGTCTACGCGCTAATGGAAAGATTATAACATTTCAACATCATTTCAATCGATTCAATTGTTCTATCGATAACAGTGTACTAAAATATTGTTTTGGGAAGCAATCTTGCTAAACTTTCAAGTGTTGCAATGTTGATCCAATATTGTTATAATTGTACTAGTAAATTTAAAAAAGTATTTTAAATTACAATTAAACAAAGTTTCGATTTAAACGAAACAGATACTATCGAATACTGCGACGACGCACGGTTTGATATTGGAAATATCATTTGTGATTTTATCTGGTTAAGCGCACGCGGAGTGAACATTGAAATCAAACTTCAAAACACGGAATTTGAAAAACTGTACAGGTTAATTGAAAGTACGTATAACTTGCACTCAATAATTACTTCTTTTAAAATTGGTTATGACGCTGCAAATTTCTGTCTTTGTTTATAATTATTCATTTACTTAATTGTATATTTAATTAAACTTCATAGTGGTAGAAACTTGGCATTTCTTAAGGTACGTTTTCGTAAGGACAAATCCGGCCGACTTGTCGGCCCGACATGTTTGTTGGGCGACAAGTTGTCAAAATTAACGTGTGTTTACGTAGTTACTTGTCGGCAACCGACATGTCGTGGAAACGATCTAAAAATCGAACTCTGCAGTTAGCATCAAGATGGCAGACGATCAAGTCGAACAAGTAGTGTCAGCTTTCGTGGTGTTGGCAGGAAGTCTTGCAATAAAGTTATCAGAACCACAAAAGAATTCACTTCGAAAACGCAAAAGGTGGTATATTAGAAGCTTTTTAGCGAAAAGACGTTTCGAAGGTGCATACAGAACTTTTTATTTTATTGAAATGACTTGCAACATGGATTCTCAACATAATATATGATCACAACACAAATTAACAACTGTTTACGTAGGGACAAATGAACGGTGACCCGACATGTGCGGTTGATTTTTGTATCCGACACCGACATTTCGTTTACGTTATAACCGACAAGTCGGCATGTTGTGTCCTTACGAAAACAAGGCTTTACTATAATCATTTTGTCAACTAAAAATCGATATTTTTTTTAATCACTGGGAAACCATCTAAATAAGCCTGAACAATAAAAAAAAGGGTGTAAATTTTACGGAAAATTCGTCCGAAAAATTTCGAACCAAGTCTCTTACTAGCGGAGCGAGCGATCCGCCGTTAGCGTATTATTACAAGCACCTTTGTCTCCTATACCTGAAGTTCACGAAAACTCTGGAAATGTAGAGGTAGATCTCATCTTCAAACTCAAATAATTAAATGTGTAATAATATCGGCAATCCACAGGAATTCCAACAAATATTAATGGCCCGAGCTGATGGCAATGAACTGTTAAGTGAATATGCGTCAAGCAAAGACCTCAGTACTTCAAGTAGAAAAAAATTGACAAACATTGTTGTGTCAATAATTATTGAAAAACATGGCAGTTATCTTGGAAAAGATGTAAAAAGTAAATATGCTAAAGAAATAACAAAATTATTTCAATGTTATGAAAACAATGATGGAAATGGATATGTAAGTTTCATATACAATTAAGTAAAATTTCATATTTAACTGCTATCATTAATATTTTCTAGAAACTTTTTTTTAATCCGGAAGATAGAACAGGATTTCTCGAGAATCGTTTGAGGACCGTAAATAGATCTAATCCTCAGCAAAAGAAAAAGAAATTAACAGATCATTCACACACAGACTCCGTATAGATGCACGCACTGGCTGCAAAATGCTTGTGTAAGGAATGACAAGAAATTGATTTTTGACTATATGGTTCCAAACTTTCAACCATAGACAAAATGTGGATGATATTTTTAGATAAGCGCAGTAGCAGTTTTGGCATTAAAAACAGAAGTATTTTGAACGATTTGCAATATTTTAAATTATGTCATAATTTTTCGATCGATATTATGCACGATATATTAGAGGGCGTTGCCCAACTTGAAATAATATATTTTTTAAAGTACTATTTTCAATGTAACAAAAATATGTCTCTTGAGGCGTTTAACAAACGACTAGAAACATTTAATTATGGCAAACTCGATAAAGCAAACAAACCTAGCATCGTTATTTTAGACAAACCGGGCAACCTTATAAACCAACGAGCTGCACAAACA